AGTTAGGGTAGGAATGAACCTGAAATGTTTGATTGTTGCATAATATTTTGTTGTGAGAAGTATTTCACAACCAATATTACGACCAAATGTGGTGTTATTTTCGTAGAAAAAGAGTGCGAAAACTGAAAAGACACCATTTTTGCAAATTCCCTCAAAAGAAATTGCTTCTCACAAGCGTAAACTCGCCAAATAATACATAACAAGAGCTTACAGATAGTAATATAAAAATAACGGCACCAAATTCATGCTATTGATCATACATCCACGATGCTCCAGACCATCCTGAAACAACGTGCAAATTCAGAAATCAGCAAATTAATTAAAGAGCAAGCGAAAACTTAAAACTTTACTTCACGAAAAATGATCAACACTTACAAGAATATTGTCAAAGTCAGAAAGATGACTAAATATCCCAGCTTGTATAATCTAACTTTTTTCTCCCAAGGAAGCTGGTTGAATATCTCGGTTACATCTACCAAATGCTGCCGCCTAAAATATCTGATCATAGGATTGGATATGGAATTAAACGAACATTATTCACTCGTCTCACTTTTGTCCAACTCAATTGTAACAATGCAATTTCCTCAAATAAAAATAAGTTATTACTACACAATTTACTATTTATGCACTCTATATTTCTAACTACTATGTTAATCATAATATTTATATCTCAAACTAAAATGAATATGGAAACAGAACAAAGAAACTTACAATGTTAGATTGTAATATGAATATGGAACAGAAAGAAGAAACATGGTCCAATGTCCTGTAATAAGATGGAGCAAGCACAAAACTCCTTGAGTGACAAACTCGGGCAAAACCGCCTTATTTATCCTAGATGCCGAATCATACGGGTTGATATAATCGCACTCAAGGTCAGCCAAGCACATTAGCTGCAAATAGACAACATTTTAACATCAATTTGCCCCATCACACAAAACAATATCGAGATTAAAAAAAAAAAAACTTTGCTTGAATTTATGACTATATAAGAGCAACTTGTAGTTCATAGGAACCTTAAATTGTCACTGATACAAAAATGTTCCTAGAAAAACATCACTTTTTGGGTACTGAAGTAAGTAAGCTAGCAAATCAAGCAACAGTGATGAAATTTCACCAACTTTCCCCTAAACAATACACAGATGCATACAAACCTCCTAGGGTTTGAAATTTCCCATCGGCCCTAATCTCTTCTCTATTACCAAATTCACGAATACATACAAATCAATTTAAGATTTTTCACACGATTCAGTAAAATTTCGACAGTAAGAAACAAACCCTTTATCTTCAATCGCATGAACTAACATCACATGCTCAAAACGAACCATTTTCTTTAAATACAAAAAATAAATAAATAATAAAAACAAACTTTTTTTTCCTGAGAACGAAGTAAAACAAATGAAAAAAAAAAAAAAAAAAAAAAAAAAAAAATAGCGTACAGCTGCTACTAATTTTACCTGGTAAAGAATTATTCCAACTAAAGCTATGACGTTAAAAAAGGAAAATATCCAAGCAAATAAATCCGCCATTTCCGGTTCTTTTTTCCCCTTCTCTCTGTTTTCAAGTTCCCAGCTCCTTCTGTACCAAAACACGCTGTATTGCATTAGTAGCGATTTATACCTAAAAAGCGTGTTTTAGTAGCCCAAATATAGCTTTTTTTTTTTTTTTCGAAACGATAGACGAAATATAGCTAGTGTTCGGTTTCGGTAAATGATATATATTCATTTAATTAGTTCTGCTAAAAATTTTAAAAATACATCATAACCTCAAAAATCCCAAATTATTTATTTATTAAACCTTCCAATGCCACTTTAAAAAATATTTACATTTATTAACCCTTCCAATGCCACTTATAAAAGCTATTTTAGCTCTTACATTTGTTGTAAAATTGTAATCCTTGTATATATTTTCTCTATTTCTTGTATTCTAATTATTCTTACCAATGCTACTTCAAATGAAACAATGTGTCATTATTTATTTATTTAATTATATCTTTCATAGTTTGCTTGATTATGAATTACTCATTTATTCCACCTAAACACAATTATTAGTGGAAAGTCAAGCAATGCAAAATCAGCCCATAAACTCACTAATATAAATCTATGAACTCAAATTGATTATTCTTTATTACTAAAGCACATGAACCATGAATTATCTTTCTTATGTCTGTCTCATCAACACAAAGCTCACTCTATTCACTAACCTCCCAAAGTTCAAATTTTCACCTAATCTGGGCACTGGACATGGAAATATGCCTATTAAGGTCCCCAAATGTTCATAACATTT